GAAATAATGATGTTAATCAAGACATTCAGAGTCTTGCATTTATTATGCTCCTTCTCATTTATTTACTATCATTCTACGACAGGCGAAAGTTTGCAGAAACCTTTCTTTTTCTGCTTATATATGTATTAGCATTCATTGTGGGGACATTGGAAAACAAAGACAGACAGAATTAAAATAAAAGAAATATCTACAATCAGACCACCCAGCATTCACTGCTATTAGCATCCTGGTATATCATACAAATCCTATTATTTTTTAGAAATCTGGATCACCATTCGGTTATAACATCCCCTAACCTGTTTCTTTCCCTTAACTATGCATTTACATAGCATTTATCATTCTATTCTATAGCTACACCATAATTAATTTCAATTATTCCCCATTATAGACATTTGGAATATTTTCAAATTTTTATTCTTTTTTTTTTTTTTTTGAGGAAGATTAGCCCTGAGCTAACTTCTGCCAGTCCTCCACTTTTTGCTGAGGAAGCCTGGCCCTGAGCTAACATCGTGCCCATCTTCCTCTACTTTATACGTGGGACACCTACCACAGCATGGCGTGCCAAGAAGTGCCATGTCCGCCCAGGATCCGAACCGGAGAACCCCAGACCGCTGAGAAGCAGAATGTGCGAACTGAGCCACTGGGCCGGCCCCCAAATTTTTATTCTTGTAAAACATACTGTGATGAATCCATATTAGGGGTGTTGTGATGGGGGGGTGTGTTTCATGTGCACACATACATTCACCCATATATATTTGTTTTTATTTCTTATCTAATTATTTACTTAGGATTTGTGAAATATTCCTAGGAAGGACTTTTTTGATAGGAATTGCTGGGATGATGGATGTTAGCAATTAAGACTGATTACTAATTAATTGCTAACCAGAAAAAAGAATTCCAATTTATTTTCCTACCAGTTTAAATTTCCCTGTTTACCTTCAGTTCCAAAAACACTGCCTTTTCTGTCATTGATATTTATTGAAGTCTAATGCACATACATAAAACTTCCCACATCATAAACTCAAACTGATGAGAATTATCACAGAGTGATATTATCAGTGTAACCAACCCAGTTCAAGAAATGGAATGTTGCCAGCATCTTGGAAGCTCTCCTTGTGTCAATTTTCATTTACGTTTCAAAGGTTAACATTATCCTAACTTCTAACAGTTTTGATTGTTGCCTGGTTTAAGACTTATCTAAATGGAATCATATTTGTCCTCTTTTGAGCCTGACTTCTTTCATACAACCTTTTGTTTGTGAGATTTGTCCATATTGTTGAAGTCGTAGGTCTTTTTCGTATTCCCTTGCTCTATACTATTTCATCGCCAACAGCCTTTGTCAGTCTGAAAGCATAAAATATCACAGTGTTGTAGTGTTCACTCAACATCTTCAGCTTCGTGTGAGGTTGAACCTGTTTTCCTACCTTCACTTGTTATTATTAGAACAAGTTTGTTCTCTTTGGACGTTGGTTACTTACTGTTCCTATTGTAAATAAACCGTTCCCTTCTGCCCATGCAATGGGTCACATCGGCCCTTGGTTACAAAAGAGAAGAGTGACTTTTGTTTTTTTCACTCTCTCCCAAAAGGGCAGTTAAGATTGTGTTCTTTTGACAAGACAACATGTTTCCTTTCTGTAGTTCTCTAGTTGCAGGGTCTTGACCCTCAATGGTGGGAAAAGGAACATGATACGTGGATTCCAGACCTCAAGAGCGAATCAGCCCACATAGCGGGTTAAAGCCACCTTCTACCTATCGTCCTGGTACCTCTGACTTTTGCTACCTCATACTTTTTTTGGGTCTTTCAAAAATTGGTTTCCTTGAAAAGTTGACCAGCCACGGTTAACTCTTTGCTGCCTAGGGTACAAACTTTCTCTAAAATTAAAGCTGACTCACAACCAAGATTGATAAAGGGTGAGAAGGATGAGAATCTCTGTTTCAGGGGTTCCCACACCTAGTTACACAAGAGAATCACCAGGGGGAGCTTTAAAGAAATACCAACGCTTGACCCCATTCCAAGACAGATTCTGATTTAATTGGTTTGGGGAGAAGCTTGGGTTTTACTTTTAAAAGGTCCCCAGGTGATTATAATGGGTAGCCAGGATTGAAAACCACTGAAAATTCTTTCTCTGTGGGCGGTGGATTCAATTCTTCTGAATTGATAAGTTTTAGCCTATAAATGAAGAATGCCTCTGCCTATTTGATGTCACGGCAGACTCCCAGAGACGAGTCAATGTCTTAATGTTTGTCTTTCCCAACTCCTGGACAATACCACATTTCACTCCTAGATCGTAATTCTTTATACTCATTATTTTGATTCATAGCAAATGTAGGTTGTCCTAAATGGACTAGTACTGTAACTGGTGAGTTGTTCACACCTAAATAGAATTGAGCTGGTCAGATCACTATTTGAGTGAGGTTGTGGTAATGGAAGAAGAGCTATTGAGACCTTCCCATTTGGAGGAGTATGATGAGGAGAAATGGAGGTGCAGAAGCAAACATTATATTTATAAATCTGCTTTAGGTCCCAAAGACGTCCAGGGCCTTTGAACTATGATTTTGCCCTTGTGAGCCTTGGTAAACGTCCTCTTAAGTCTAGAGGAGTGGTTCAAAAAGTGCAGTCCCCTTAGCATGTCAAAGGGACACTGAAGCCAACTGAAAGAGTTCCCAATGGCCAAATCTCAAACAACTTCAGTAACAAAATATATAAAGTAAATATTGGATTGTAAAACAAAGTGGAAAATAAGTACCATGACTCTGTATTAATAAAAAATGTTTGAATAAATAAATATGGGATAATGGACAAATTTCCCACATGGGAGAATTCCAAATAACTTATGTGGATATTCTCCGCCCCTTAGGTGTGAGGTGCACATGGTGACTTTCCCCGAAGGGTACAGTATGGGAAGTGGGGGATGGGGTGAAGGTGAGGGCTTTATGGTACAGAAACCTGGCGGGGCCGACTCCGTGGCTGAGTGGTTAAGTTTTCGTGCTCCGCTGTGGCGGCCCAGGGTTCGAATCCTGGGCGCCGACATGGCACCGCTCGTCAGGCCACATTGAGGCGGCGTCCCACATCCCACAACTGGAAGGACCTGCAACTAAGATAGACAACTGTGTACGGTGCGGGGGGGGGGGGGGGGGGGGCGGAGGGGAGAAAAAGCAGGAAAAAAAAAAAAAGATTGGCAAGAGTTGTTAGCCCAGGTGCCAATCCTTAAAAAAAAAAAAAGAAACCTGGCAAGCGCTACCTCAGCCAGGTGATCAACATTAATATCGTCAATCATAAATCATGTTGCTGATAGGTTCCCTTGATATGATGTATTGAGCAAGGCACTTTACCTCTGTCGTCTTCCTCACAGAATTTCAGAACTCCAGTCTAACCATGAGAAGAACATCAAACAAATTCAAATTGAAAGACATTGTACAAAATACATGACAACTACTACTCAAAATTGTCAAAGTCAACATAAACAAAGAAAGTCTAAGGAACTGTCCCACAGCCCAGAGAAACGTGAGGAGACATGAGTACCAAATGGAATGTGGTGTCCTGAGTAGGGTCCTGGGGCATAAAAAGACATCAGGCTCAAAAGTAAGGAAATCTGAATCACATATGGACTTTAGTTAATAATAACATCTCGATATTTGTTCATTAGTTGTGACAAATATCCATAATAACGTAAGATAATGGAACAATAGGGGAAACTAGGTGCATAATATATGGGAATGCTCTGTACTTTCTTCACACATTTTCTGAAAATCTAAAACTATTCTAAAATAAAAAGTTTATCAAAGGAAAAAGAAAGTATGATTTCCCAGACCAGCGAGATCTTGTTAAAAATTCAGATTCTCGGGCCCCAGCCCAGCCCTTCTATATCAGAAGCTCTGGGGATGTGACAGCAATCTGGGATTCTGATTCCACAAATGAGAACGGCTGATCTAGCAGGTTGGCCAAGAACTCCGCCTTCAGGTGCTTCTCAGTTTAGATGAAGCTGTGTTACTTTTTCTTCAATGCCCAGGAGTGAAGAATCACGTTAGGCTTCTTGGTAGTTTCTGATTACCCAGCTGTCACCTTTCACAGAGCAATGATATGTCGATACATCCGATCTCCGGGGCCCTTTGCAGACTCTGTTGTGCTCATGTCTTCCACAACATCTGCAGCACACCCAGATCCCCTCTTCTTCTGATAAATTCAAACATATAACGTGTACCACCTTGCATGTTTCCAGAGGCCACAAATCATAGCAGAGTGTGAATTCTCTGGAGACAGAAGTGGCCTTGGGCAAACTGTGTGATCCCTCTGTACTTGAGTTTCTTCCTCTGTGATTTGGAGAAGATAGGAGAGTATTTACCTCATGGGTTTTTGTGAGGATTGGGAGTTAACGCTCATAAGGTAAGAATCATATCCAGCACTTAGTGAGGACCGAATAAATGTGAGCTGGTGCTATTGTCAGTGGCAGATGTCTTGCCTCTTAAATATCTCTTCTCTTCTCCCAAAGCAGCAGGGTCATGTGTGCAAAATAATGGCTCAGTAAAGATTGGGTGGATTGAATGGGTGAATTGAGCAAAAAGTCTTATTTTAAACACAGTGACCCCACCACCCCCTCGAGTCTTCTAAGGCACCTTGATTTTGAGTTGGGGGGTTGGAAATATTTCATGTTGTTTATATAATGCCTTTTGGAGAGAGCAAGGGAAGCGGTTGGAGAGTTTATCTGACCTGGGAGTGAGTTAAACTTACTTCAAGCTTCATTATCAATGAATAGCACCATTTTAATTTTCATCTCAAATTATTCTCGTTCCTGAGATCCTTAGCAGAGTTCCTGTTAGCCAAAAAGACAAGATTAGTCAGAAAAGAACACCCCAGGGGCTGTTCTGGCAGCAACAGGTGAATATGTTCGGTTAACAGGTTCAAATTTTGTTTCTTTGCTCTGTGGAACAGGTTAAATAGAAATGCAGCAACTTACCTGCCATAAATGCACAGGCCTTGGGTGTTTTGGTTTGTTTTTCAGATGGGGATTAATGTGGTGGACTCTGCAGTAGCGGGATTAGGTGGCTGCCCTTATGCAAAAGGTGCTTCTGGGAACGTAGCCACTGAGGATTTGATATACATGCTTCATGGCCTAGGGCTCCATACAGTAAGTTAATTTAACATACTTTAATATTCATGAATTCCTTGCAGATACAAATTGGAATGCATCTCAGATTTGGGAAGCAATTTTGAGGTCAGACTTTTACTACGTTTTTGCTATTTGCTAAAATGCGCACTGGGAAAACACATTAAAAATTCTTCAGGGGGCTTTAGAAAGTAACTTATTGCTATCGCTCAATCGCCAATAAGGCTACCATTTCACATTTTTATAGTGCTTCATGGCCTCCAAAGTACTTCTTCACGTATTATCTGATTTGATTTCACACTCTGTGAGTTGGAGCCCCTGCATTTGCTGTTATGATTGTTGTTTCTGCCTCTTTTCTTTTTTTTTTTTTGGTATGGATGTTTTCCTCGGAGGAAACTGAGATCTTGATTTTCTCACAGTGACAACTAATGCTTCTGGGAAAGAGCCCGGGACACTTTTAAAATGGTCAGTGGGAGAGCAGAGCTTAATGACATTTAGCATGTGAGACACTGGAGAGCAAGAGTAGCCTCTGTACAGGTAGTCTGTGAAAAGTCACATGCTCTGTAATAACACCCACCAAAATCAGCACCTTTTTTGCCACGTATTTGTTAACATGACCTATTAATCTGTAAGACAGATTTTTTTTTTAGGGAAAAAATATAAAAGGGGAGAAAACTGTTCACCGGTGATTAGAAGTTCAAAACCTTTTCTGAGATGTAAAAGCATCATCTGGATTACAATATGGAATTTTCCTTCTCTATCTCTTCCATCTCTCCTCTTTCCTCAATCTACTTATGTTGGTGCTCCTGCAACACCAAACTGGCCTGTCCTCCCCATTTCTGCACCATTCCGTCTCTCACCACCCCTCATTCAAGCTTTCACCGCCACTTGGAATGGCCTTTGACCCCATACTGGATTTTACCTTGTGAACGAGACACCACCATCCTCAAAAACTCTTTCTTCTAGCATCTCCTTGTCTATCCCCCAGGCCATACTGTTAGGTTCCTCTCCTAACAGTGTGCCTCTACCTGTGAACCTGCTCTGAATTCTATGATGATCTTATTTCTGTGTGTAGCTCCCTCTGCAGGCAGGAGCAATTATTACAGCTTATTCATACTCCATGCCTGCTTGTTGCATAGAGATGCTCAACCATGTTCACTATATTGACTAACTATAGGAGATGACTTTCTGTTTAGGGGTGCATATTGCCTACTTGATCATAAGCATCCTGCAGACAGAAACCATATTCTACATGAGGTTCTTGAAATTCCAGAACATATTATAGTACATGGGACATACTTAAGCACCTGGTGAGTGATTCAAGAATAAATACAATGTTGCTTCATAATGATATCTGTTAATTAAATAAAATATTAGAGAAAGGCCAAAATAAAATTCTTCTTTGATATGATATCAACAAATCCCACTGTATGATTGCTATAAGTGAAATTCTTGGAAAGCTAAGAACATTGGTGACTAAAATCTTCCTATGATCCCTTGCTACGTGTAAATCAGAAGCGAAAGACACATATAGCTAATTATTTACAAAATTTAAATATCACTGGATTAAGGATGTTAAATTTACACAACTAAAGGATGTGCCTAACAGATACTTCACCTAAAGTCATCACTGTGACAAAACCAAATTTCTCAAAGCAAAGCAAATGTTAGTACCCTAAGAACAACTTTATAATCAAAAGAAATAATAAAATCATTTATGTGTCATTTTACAAAATATTTTTCTTGAATATTCTTAAGTGAAGAGAAGTAAACTACAAAGAAACCAGTGCTCTGAAAGTGTCTAGAGAGGAGTAATTGGCTATGTTAAAACGATGACCTCTTTATGATCATTGTTATAAAAAGCCCCTATGAGTATTTATACTGTACTTGTGTATTTTAAGAAAATGACAGACTTAAATAAATATTAAAAACTACTCCTTGATAGCAAGAAGGCCTGAGTCTGTTCAATTTTAAGTGCACGTTGTTTCTAGTCCATGTTGAGGGAGGACATAGGAGCTTATGAAATGCTACATGAGGACAGCTCTCTGGTTAATCCACCTCATGCTCTCCTCACCCGGTGACAGCAAAGGTGAGTGGTGGAGACCTCGATGGTGACCTTTCATTACACCAAGCCCAAGAGATGAGGAGCATGCCCTGAAGTTGGCCTTCATACCTGACTGCCTATCTGTCATCCATGGATTTACCTAAGCCTTTGTTGATCCTATTTATGCTTTCAGACAGAACAACTTCTCAGGCAAACAAGTTCCAGATGTGTACTAAATACTACTTCATTTTATTTGACCTACAACTACTTCCTTCAGTATCATACCAGTAATAGTCCTTCTGAATGTGGTAATAAAAATTATGCATTCACCTTTCATATTTCTTGTAGCTTTGTCAAGTTTGTTTCTTTATAAAGATTTTCTTTTCTAAATCTTTATCTAAACCATTAATCTCCTCCAAACAATTACCATTTGAATTATCCTTCACTGGTGTTTCATAGACTGTTTCTAGTTCTATTATTTTCCTTCCTAGAGTTTAGGTACCAGGCTGAATTACACTGAGTTACTCAGGTGTGGCCAGCCTATGGTTTTATACACGGGTTAGGTTCAAGATATCTTTTAGTAAAGCAGAAAAATCTAAAATGCTGACTACATGATTCATGGAGACAAACGTTGCCCCCAAATCAATCATGAGCATTTTCTTTAATAATTTTAAGTGGTTGAGTAACTGCTAATAAAATTAAAAGGGGCCCGTCTGTTCTCTTCTTCCCTAATCCCCCTTCCCACCTGGTATCCCCCTTTCCCTTCCCAGGGTGTGAATCTTTACAAAGTGATGGAAGCTGGTGACTTTATCTGCAAAGCCGTGAATAAAAGCACGAACTCCAAAGTAGCACAAGCCTCCTTCAAGGGTCGACTTGAAAGAATCTGTGCCTGAGGCTGAGAAGATCCATTGCAGCTCCAGATCTTCATCTGAGAATCATTACTGTCAACTTATTCTGAAATGTGAAGTAATAGACACGAGTGGGAGCAAAAAGATTAGAAAGAGTATAACTGGATAGATTACAAAGCCAACGGAAAGCAATACTAGTTATCAGGTAAACTGCAAGCTGAGGCTAAATAATAAAATTTGTCGACATGCTTTTGAACTTGGAGAAAAGTCTACTCTTTTGCTCTCATAAAAATAACTTTTTAATTTAGTAGACATGAAAACTGACTTTAGATTTCCCTAAGTATCAAATACCGTGTTAATACTTAATCAAGCTGGCTTAGCACAGTGTATATATTGTCAGTAGTTTATGAGCTCCTGCATAGTGTGCAAAGTGTGTGGCCTCGATATTATGTGTTATGCCTCTGGATCTCAACTTTCCATTTGCCAAGTCAGTGAAATTATGGACCAAGCGCCAAATCACCATCTGACCCTACGTAATTTTTTGCAACATAACTTTTATATTTCAAGTGTGGCTAACATCTGTTAACTATTTCAATGACTTTATCTTGTTCCAAGAGGCTGTGGTCAATGGCAAGATGCCATATCCTGGAAACATATTACAACCTCCCAACCTCCAATGTTTGTTACATGCATCCAGTTTACCATCCTTTCCCTTTCATCAGTTATAGTAAAAACCAGCATGGTGTTACTCAACTATTGAGAAATATAAGGTACAACTTCATCCTGATGTCTAAGTTGCAGTGATGAGAATAGATGTATACATATACCATAATCCATGTTTGTCATTTCCAGATCACTTCCAAATTGTCCTAGGAAATGTCACTGTGAGTCTGGGAATATTAAGGCAGTTTTTAATTCATGAAATAAACTCTATTCCATTGATTCAGTGTCCTTTGATTAAATCACGTCTTTTTTTTTTGGCTGGCTTTTTTATGCTTATTTTTGATGTTCAAGCGGCTGAAATTTTATGTTATGTGCTAGAAAGCATTGCCAGAAATAGCAAAAATTAATATATCAAAGTTGAGAAGAGGAGCAAGGAATCTATGTTAAGAAAAACACTTCTGTAACCTATGCAAATCATACGGGGACAGTATTATTACATGCAGTTCTGAAACGTCAGTTCTATTATTTATGCAGACTTCTCCAATAATACTGGGTGATCTTATCTTTGAATAAATTTGAATATAACTTGGAATGTGAAAGTGAACATTGTGGGATTTCTATTAAATATTCATCAAAACCATTGAGATAAAAAGAAATTCAATAACATAAGAGAAGTACTGATTACAACTAAGTTAACTTTAAAAATATACAGTAATAGGAAAAGAATCACAAGGGAAATATATTGGTAATTGACAAAACCAAGTTTTATTTCCGTGGAAGAGGCCAACTCATCAGGTTGTGATGGGCAGCAGAGCAGGAGCTTGTCATCCAGAGTACCGAGCAATTCTTTGCATTTGGGTTAGTGTTGAGGGGTGGCGGCAGCGCAGGGAGCAAACAAAATTGCAGCTCTTCGTGGATATGCCTGTTCCATCTCCCTTGTACATCTCTCTTCACAAAGAACACCGTCCTACGCACTGGGGCAGTAACGGGACACCTGCCCTAAGTGTGCACAGCAGGTATACACCTCCTGTCTTCTGAGGAGACTGACTTTTCCTATCTCTTACAGAACTGTGAAGTTGTTAGTTTTGAGATATTTGGGAAAGCATCTGTTGATAGAAACTGCTTATAGAAACAGCTAAGGACAGAACTTTGCTGTTCTGGAATAAACACCATGGACTGTTCAAAAAAGCAGAGCAGGTAGTCAGAAACCCCAGGTGCAGCCTAGCACACACTTGCATGGCACGCACATCAGTCTACCAATTCATTTCTGAGAATACCTCGATGCTTCCTGATCACGCTCACCCCGAGAAAGTGTGTGTTCTAGGTGTTTGTTATCCTACCTCCACCCAAACCGTCTAAACCCCTCTGCTAGCTTAAAGAGAATTTCTTTTCTGGTTTTTGAAAAAAACCCCACATGATTACATAAAGCTGCCTGATGTCCATAGGCAGAATTCCCCAGAGCTATATTTCAACGAACCAGGACTATTTGGAATCATTGCAGGACCCACCCAAACAACCTACCCACACATAAACCCGTACCAGGGTTAGCCTTGGGGAAGGCTTAGAAGCAGCCAAGCAGTTATGACCTTTACTGAAACACATACCAGCAATCTTTTATGACATGTGCCTTTAAGTTAAGGAAAACATCCTTTCTATGTTCTAGAATACGTGATGTATTTTACCACACATATATGTTGATGACCTAGTATAGACAAAGACTTTAAGTCTTCTGAAAACTAAAGATTTTCTAAATTCTGGATTCATGAAACTCACAAAGCACATAAATAGAAGCTAGCTATGACTTTATGAGAAAATTCAGAATACCCTCATATTATTTATTCTGATTACTATAACATTTAATAAACACCCTTTTAGCTGCACTTACATGGCTATTTATTTCTATATATGTGCATCCTGCATCTCTGAAATGATGAACTCCAGATGTAAGAGTCACAGGTGATTTAGCATTGAATAAATAAGCCACAAATGTCATCCCTAGCACAATTGTGAAGAAGAGAGAAAATTAAGGCCTGGGAACCAGCCAGGAAACTGAGTTAAAATAACAGGCAAGTGAAGGATTGTTGTGAATACCAATAATCATTGCAAATTGCTTTCGTGGACTGGGAGATATAAGTTTTCTGCTTGTGTGAGGCAGGCCTGAAAGGGAAAAGAATAGTTTTGGAGATATGGAGATAAGGAGGAAGGGATGGAGGGAGGGGGAGAGGGTGGGAGAAAAGGAAGGAGAGAGAGAGCACGGAGAGAAACTGTGTTTCCTGCCTTTGAGCAGCTCTGGCAGAAGGGCACATTCTGCTGTGGTAGAGCATATGGGTCAGGCTGCTTTAAACTGTGGTAACAGAAAACCTTAATAGGCTTAAGCAAGGACAACAATTTTCTCAAATATTTCAGAAATATTGCTTTTTCACCATCGTTTAACTCAGTGGCTGAATTGTGTTACAAGCAAAAAGTTTCTCCCCGTGTTCCTGTCTCGAAGTGCTGGCTCACCTTCAGGCTCCTGCTCCTCAGACTGCAAGGTTTCTGTGACATTTCCGGGCCTCACGTTCCACGCTGTGCTCAGCCTCTGCAGAGGGCTTTTTTCTTCTGGAATGTCTTTTTTTTTTCTTTTTTTTTTTTTAAATCAATGAAGAGTGTTTCCCCACCGCCATCCCAGTCTTCCTTTCATGTTTCATTGGGCAAACTACCATCACATGCCCCTTCCTTAAACTCTTAAGAGTGGGGAAGACCTTTTGGATAGACCACTGAAGGTCACTGGTGACCTTGAGCAGATCAGGGACGTAGTGGGGAACACCAGCTGACAGGAGCGCCTTTGGTGGTGAGACAGGGTAGAGGAATTGAAGGCAGGTGAGTTAACAACTCTAAGGAAGGACCATATCCAATTTCTCAGAGACAGGACAAAAGGATGGAAATAGGACAAGTTTTAAATTTCAGGGGTGTAGATTTTTTGAGGAAAGTGGTTGATCCTACTAATTGGTCTCTATTTTTTTCAGGACTATAGGAAGTGAGACATCAGACATTAGAGTCGGGGTGGAGTGAGGGCTTGAGAAGAAGGGAGAAGTTTGAAACCCACCCAGAGCAGGATTAGAAGGTCACTTACTTTATGAAACGTTCCTAAGGGCTGCTACCTGCTAAACCCAAGTCCACCCATGTGTCCTCCTGCTCTTGTTACCTCTCTGTTTGACACAGTCCCAACTACACGAAGCATTCCTTGGTTTCTGTGTCCATCTCGCGTCCCACTCCTACCTCCTTGGTCCCACGTCCTACCACCTCTTTAATTTTGGGGTCCCCTCCTTCTCTCCTTTGTGTTTAACTATAGACTCACAAATACAAAACTGCCTACATCCCCACTAGTTGAAATGTGTTCGACAGCTGGCAGAGTTCTCATCGCTTGGGACCTTGTGAGAAATGCAGAATCTTGGGCTCCACCCAAGATGATTGCATCACCATCTGCATTTTGAACAGGCTCTTCACAGGACTCCTATGCTCTTTACAGTCTAAGACGCACTTGCCTGTTGGACGCCTCTCGTTAGGTGTGTGCTGGGCATCTGAAGCTTTGTGTATTCAAAACACCTGTACCACCCCCTTCATGCACTGCGCTCCAGCTCACTGTCTTTGCTCTGCTCCTGGGACGAGCCAGACTCAGACTCATCTCGGATCCTTTCCCTCAGTTATTCTCTCTGCCTGTAAAGCTCTTTCTCTGGGCGTGACTGGCTCCTTCTTGCCATTCGGGTCTCAGCATAAATATCACCTCCTTAGTGAGTCTTCCTGGACAACTCAGTCTAGAGTAAGGCCTCAGTTACCTTCTCTCGCATCAACTAGTTTAATTCTAATTTTCATTATAGAATTTTTCACTCCTTATTTGTTTATTTTCTTTCTTTCCTCGACAGAATATATGCACCAGCTTCACTCTTACTTCTGAGGGCCTAGTACAATAGCTATCCAATAAATGTTAGTTAGAAGGAAAAATAAAAATAGAAATGAGGGCCTGGCCCAGTGGCGCAGCGGTTAAGTTCACACGTTCCACTTTGGCAGCCCAGGGTTTGCTGGTTCAGATCCTGGGTGCGGACGTGGCTCCATTTGGCACACCATGCTGCGGTAGGCATCCCACATATAGAGTGGAGGAAGATGGGCACAGATGTGAGCTCAGGGCCAGTCTTCCTCAGCAAAAAGAGGTGGATTGGCAGCAGTTAACTCAGGGCTAATGTTCCTCAAAAAAAAAAAAAAAGAAATGAGTTTAACTCAAACATTTAGGAATTTAAGACAGGAAACCGTTCCACTTGAACTCTGTCTTTTTAATATATTTTTTAAAATTTCCTGAATCCTTGATAGTTCTTTAGAGTTTATTTGTTTCATAACAGTTTGGAAGCAATGCTTACTAAAAATCCTCAAAATACATATTGAATAATTGAATTAAGGAATGGATACATATATGTGCCAAAGAAATTTGAGAGAATGTTAAGAAACGCTAGAGAAAGTAAAATTGTCAGAGAAACAAATATCCTTTTAGCAGGAATCAATCCATCAGAATCAGTACAAAAGGTTGACCATATCAGTAACAACAAAAACCTTCCTGAGGGGGAAGAGAGGCATTAGCTACAAGAATACGTGTAATTCCTTCCTATCTGTATCTCTCTTACACATACACACTCACAGGCACACACACACACGTGTACACCATTCCATTGAGGGACAGTAAAGCCCAGTTTCCTCATTGAAACTTTCTGGAACTGTCTCTTCTCCTATCCAAGGAGCCAGATCTGCATTGCCTATTCAAAGTCCACTGGGACATGTCATCAAGAAGAGCAAGCCCGTTCCATCAGCTGCCATCTTTGTGGTTAAGAGTTAAAGATTTCATGATAATTTGCTGTGAAGACCTCATTAATTTAGTATTCCTTAAGTAGTTGTCATTTATAGGTATTTCAGAATCATGTCTTGGGAGAGATATAATACTCAATTTTTCGTGGCTGACACAAACTTCCTCTCTGTGGTCTCACTTCCGGCCACACATTCGATCCATCAGTGGAGGACAGGTTGGTGGGGGTTGGGGGTGCAGGCAGGGGGAAGAAACAGCACTGATGCCCGGGCTTCACCTCCGAGATTGTCATGTATCTGGTCTGGAGTGGGACTTCAAGTATCAGCATTTAAAAGAGCGTGTGTACAAGGGCGGTCTCATGTGCAGCCACAGTTGAAAATCTGCTCTCGTGTAGTGGCTTTTAAAATGTGGTCCCAGGACCAGCAGCGTCAGCAATATGGCCTACTTTTCC